TACAGCAGTTCACATACACTTTGTCTCATGACATTGACCACAATTTACCACAATGCAACATCTCCCCTCCCACTTCCTCCCGACAGTTACCTCTTCCCTGTGTCCATCCCTCCATGTACTCCTGCCCCCTGAGCTGTCTCCCTGTGCATAAGCAGCCCTTCTTTATCCCATGCTTGTTCTCTCCAAGGAGTGTACCTACCTCAGGTAAATGTCATATGCCTGTCCATTGTTTGGCTGGAAGCCACAGGCGTGCGTTCAATTCTGGACCTAAAAGGCAGCTAGGGGCCATAGTCTCAGTTGGTTCCACCAGGCTCCATTGGGCCAGCAAACCTGGTCCTCCCCCCCTTTTTTTTCCAAATGATTTTGAGTTTTGTTCCACATTGTTCTCCCTGTCTATCCAGGATCTCCTACATAGATCCCCTTCAAAGAGGTTAACAGCGGTAGCCAGGCAACATCTAGTTCTTCTGGTCTCGTAGTCATATAGGCTGCAGATCGGATGGTGTATCAGTCACTAGGACTAATTTTTTCCATTAATTTTTGGTTTTCTTCATTCTTTTTGGCTCTGGACGAGGAGAGACCCATCGTTGCATCTAGATGGAAGCTTGCAAGCTTTTAAGATCCCAGTCACTACCCGCCACAGTAGGAGGTGGAACAATGTTTTGTGTAGTATGTTATGCCAATTGAGCTTGATGTCCTCTGCAACTACAGTCCCAAGCCCACAGGTTCAACTTCTTGGTCCCTCTGGGTAGCTGGCTGTGACCAAGCAGTGACTACGACCTTGCCCCTTGTCAGCTCCACCATACACCTGGGAATTCAGATCATACACATAAACTTATAGGATCATAAACTTACAGGATCACTGTCTGCCAACCCTATGCATGTTCTTGGGTGTACTTCCACTTCATAGACATAGCTAATAGTTCAGTCTGTCCACCCATCTATCCACCCATATACCCTTGTTTGCCTTAACTGACCACCTCGTACTATATGTGCAAAAGGGTTCATCTTTGTTGTCTGTACTTCCCATGTACCTCTCTTTGTCTTTTATCTCCTCAGTGCCACTATATTGATCACTCACATTTGGTACATTGCCTTTCTCTTCACCCAAATCCAAACTTATCTTTATCTATCTAACTGTATTCTCTACCCTACCCTCCCGCCCCTGGTAACCAACAAAGAAAATGTCCTTCCATACATAAGCATTTCCTTGACTTTTACAATAATGGACTAATACAGTATTTGTCCTTTTGTGATTGACTTATTTCACTCAGCATAATGTCCTCCAAGTTCTTCCACATTATGTGGTGTTTTGCAGATTATACATTTTTTTTAGGGTTGCATAGTATTCCATTGTGTGTTTGTACCATAAGTTGGATATCCATTCCTCAGTTGATGGACACCTAGGTTGTTTCCATCTTTCACCTATTGTAAATAGTGCCGCAGTGAACATGGGTGTGCATATGTCTGTTCTTGTCATAGCTCTCACTTCTTTAGGATATATACCTAGTAATGGAATACCTGGGTCAAATGGTATTTCTAGTTCCAGTTTTCAAAGGAATCACCAAACTGCTTTCCACAATGGTTGTACCATTTTACAGTCCCACCAGCAGTGTATAAGCGTCCCGATCTCTGCACATCCTTGCCAGCATTTGTTATTTTCTGTCTTGTTAAACTTTGCTACTAGTGGTGGAGCAAGATGGTATCTCATTGTTGTTTTGATTTGCATTTCTCTAATAGCTAATGATCGTGAGCATTTCTTCATATGTTTGTTGGCTGCTTGAATATCCTTCTTGGTGAAGTGCCTATTCATGTCTTCTGCCCATTTTTTAATTGGATTGTGTGTCTTTTTGTTATTGAGGTTTTGCATTGTTCTATAGATCCTAGAGATAAGTCCCTTGTCAGATATGTCATTACCAAATATTTTTTCCCAATCCGTAGGTTCTCTTTGGACTCTTTTGGAGAAGTCTTTGGAAGCACATAAAAATTTAATTTTTAGAAGGTCCCAATCATCTGGTT